AACGAGTCAAGATACAATAGTCAAAATGTAGTAGTAACGTAGTAATATAATTCTTTTTAAATTCGTTACGATCCACGTACACTCGAATTACCTACTTTTTTCTTTTTTTAATCCATTCAATCCATTAGTTACACTTGCACATATAGAACCGTTTTTTTGGTGTTTGTTTTTTTTATTCTCTTTTTTCCCCTAGGCTTCTTTTTTTTTACTCTTTTGTCATTTTTTTTAATCTTTCAATGGTAAGTTCCGAATTGTCTTTCCTAATTTTTTTTCTCGTTTTTTTTTTATATATTCATGGCGGGAGGAGTTGAGGTTTTGCTTGTCTGGCAGAAACAATGCGAATAGGAGAGGAAAAAGGGAAAATATACTTTTCTTTTTTTTTTCTTTCGATCGCTTTGGGATTTTCTTTTTTTTCCTTTCATTTCCACAATATTCGGGATTTTTTTTTTTTTTTTTTTGCAATCTGTCTACGTTAATGCGACTTTGTCTCATTAATCTCACTTCTTTCGAGTTAGATGGATAGAATTTAAAAAATAAATTTAAATAAATTTAAACAAAATTTTTAAATTGAAAAAAAATTTTTTTTTTTGTAAAAATAGATGAAAAATAAATTTGAAAATTTACTAAAAAATTGATAGTATTTTTTTTTTTGGGTAAATTGATTTTAGTGTGCTATCATTGTGCTTATGTTCCGCGCGCACACTGCGGGCGCAACATGTGAGGAGTGGGGATAGCGTTCCCTTCCCCACTCCTCGAAAATTGCGCGCGCAGCTTTCTCCACCGCATCAAAGGATAAAAATCTAACGTTTAACTCTACTTCAGACTCTAATCGTTACTCCAAAGAAAACTCAAACATTTCCTTTTAAATATATTACAGAATTAATAAGTATAATTTATAATTAATTAATAACTAATTAATAATTAATAATATTGAAATATTAATTAATAAACCATTAAATAACAGTGAGTATATTAAATAATCAATTATTATTTAATAAATTATTAATTAGTTATTAATTCCTAATTAATAATAAATTGTTATTAATTAATAAAATAGGTTTGTGCTCCCTCTTTTTCTTTTCTAGTGCAAAAATCTATGAAACTATTTTTTTCAGTTTCTTTATCATTGAAGATAATTAAAAAAAAATGGTGAACATTAAAAAAACAAGAAAATAAATAATTAAAAATATAATTCGTTTTATTAGTTTTTAATTATTCTTTTTGCATTATTAGAAATACGTTTATTGTGTACTTACGATTTCTAAATTCCCATTTTTAAGTTTAAATTCTTATTTTACAGAAATATGTAGTAGGAGATTTTTAATATCTTTGAAAGAAAAGCGAAAGGACTATTCGTCTACAAAACCACTCGACAATAAAATTTTAATTAAATAAAAAAAATATTCAACTAGAAAGAAAAATTCTAAAATAAAACAGAAACAATTTGTTGTCTAAAAATTCTATTTTTATTTTTTACTATTTCTATATTAAGGGATAATTTTATTTTTTACAAGTGAATAAACAATTTAATTAACAAATATTAATAATCAATTTGAATAATATTAATTAAAAAATATTATAATTATATTAAATTACTTAAGTAATCAATTATTCAATGAATATTATAAAATAGAATTTTATGTATAATTAAAAATTCGAAAAATACAACAAACGGTATTAAATGTTATAATTAAAAATTATATAATACAGAATTATTACATTAAATGTAATAATATTACAAAAAAATTTACTATACCTAATAGAATAAAATTACAAAATGTAATTATATTACATTAATGAAACAGAATATTTTCTAAATTTTATTTTCGAAACAAAATTTTCTAATCTTCCAGCTTTTTATTATCGTTCTGGTAAATAAATAAAAAAAAATTTGTTAATAGAAAAAAAAATGGCGACATTTCATTTGAAATTCCTGTCCATTGTGGTCATTTATTCGAATATATTTATTTTATGAAAAAATAAATAATAAATAGTGTATAAATGTGCTTGAAAGAGATATGATTATAAAGTTGATAATGGCGTTCATTTTTTTTTTTTGTTATTTTATACCCGTATGAAAATGTATATAAAAATAAGAATTTCGAATATTTACTCTCAGCTATAATTACAACAAAATTTTTTTCCTCTTTTTTTTGTTATTTCCATTCGCCCCCACATTATTATTTTAAAAATATCTAAATTCTCAAAAACTAATATTATTATCTAGACTAATTCCTTGCATTTGTTTCTTTTGTTTATTATTTTCATCCCTTCGATATATTATTAAAAAAATGAAATTAAATTTGTTTTCCTAAAAAAACAAATTAATTATTATTAAAAAAATCAATTTTTTATTCTCTTATTTTATTGATAAACACTGATCATGATTTTATTTTTTTTAATTTTTTTGACTACCTCAAATTGGTACGTATTTTTTTCAGGTTTTTTTTTTCATTATTTTGTTTTTAAATTTTTTTTTAGTTCTATAGTTTTAAATATATATTTATATATATATATGTATATGAAGAGGTTCACTAAACTTACTTGGAAACGACATTTTAAAGGCTTCTTTCAGTATCGATTCCGTTAATAATCTTAAAGATTCGTATGATAATGACTCATTTGTGTTTTTTTTCTAACTTTACAAATCGTGCGTTTTTATTTATTTTTTGGTTTTTAAATTAAAAAAAAAAAAATTTTTTTATTGAAAAAGGAATTTTTTTATTAAGAAAGAAATTTTTTTATTAAAAAAGGAATTTTTTTCTTAAACAAATTTTCATTATCAAAAATTACTTCAAAAATCACAATAAGAAATATAATAAAATTACATTAAGAATTACATTATAAATTAGATAAAAAATTCCATTAAAAATTTCATTAAAAATTGTCAATATTTTGAAAAAAATTTTTTGCATTCTCTTACCTTTTGTCATCGAATTTTGTAACAATTCGATTAAATTTTTTTAAATTTTAATAACTATAAATGTAATGAAAATAAAAATTCATTATTTCCAACATTAATTACTAATTAATTAATTTTTTATATAAAAATTAATTCTCTAGTTATTGAATTGATTACATTGTGTCGTTGAAGTAATTTGTGCTTCAATTATCACGTAATAAAGCTTTATTAGCTCACAGTCAATTTAACACACAAGGAAAGAGTAAATCAATAAATTAAAAAAAGGGAAATATAACAACAACAAAAATAAATAAAAAAAATACAAATTTCTAAAAAAATTAATAAATTATCAGTAATAAAATTAATCGATTAATTAAAAAAAACCCTTAATTTTAATAAATTAGTCTATTTATTTTCGTAAAATTAAATAATTAATTAAAGTGACCTTGACTAGATACTTATTTAGTAATCTTATTTTTTTTATTTCTTTAATTTCTAATTGTAAAATTATATACAATAAGTTTAAAAAATAAGACAAATTTTTCTTTTCTATATTGACACTTTTTATTTTTTGTAAAATTTAAAAATTATAAATTAAAAACTACTTTAGTTTAATAATTACTTTAAAAGTAATTTAAGATTTTAATAACTTAAGTAAATAACAATTTATCTATTTAATAGATTAATAAAATAGTATTTTTCTAAATTAATGAAGAATTATTTTAATAACCTAATCGAACAATAGTATTTTAATAAATTAATAAAAACAGTATTTTAAAAACCTAATCGAATAGTATTTTAATAAATCAATAAAAGAGTATTTTAATAACTTAATCGAATAATAGTTTTGAAAAAATTAAAAAAACATATTATTTTAGTAACATTACCGAATAGTATTTTAATAAATTAATAAAACATTATTTTAATCACCTAATCGAATAGTATTTTAATAAATTAAGAAAATAATAATTATTTAATAACTTAAAAAAAACAGTATTTTCGGAAATTAATAAAATACTGATTTTAATGTTTAAAAAAAAATTAATAATACACTTATTTAACATTTCATTGTTTTCACAAAAAAATGGTGTCATTTTTAAATTTGCAATTAAAAGATTTTATAATCAGAAATAAAAATTTATTTATTTTGAAAAAAGTGTCTCTGGCGCGTAGTGAGAAAAATAGTAGTAGTGGGGATGATGAATCACTAGGCGCTTGCCCCTAATACTCATGAGCTGCGCGCGCAGTAGTGAGAGTAGTGGGGATGACCAATCACTAGGCGCTTCCCCCCACTACTCACGAGCAGCGCGCGCTGCTTTCGAACTTTCGAAGACGCTAAAATCACACTAACTTCGTTTCTACCAATTTTGATTGAATTTAAATAAATTTAAATTCTACCGCTATTTATTTTTTATCAATTATTATCGTATCTATCACTACTGTTTATTTAAACTCCAAACCTGTCTATTTACATTACTGAATATTAGTCAATATTTTTTTGAAAATTAATCCCCAACGTTGTAAATTTTCTTTCTTAATATTGAATTTGGTTTGTGGATGAAAAAATGACACCATATTAAGATATTAAAAAAATGCTAATTTAACCTCCCTTTTCACAAACACGACGATTTTAATAATTTCTAATAAAGAGAGAGAGGGATTATAAAACGTGAATAAAAAATGGATACGAGAATAATTTTCTTGTCCTCTTGGACTTGGTGGATGTAGAAGAATAATGAAAAATTTGATTGTAAATAGGTTACGTGCGAACGTAAATTGGAACATAGGGACCCTCATAGTACGCATGAACGTAGACAAGATTGTGGAGGGGATTTAGAGTTGGATGGTGGGGTGGATTGTGTAATGGAGTGCAAACGGATGAGGTGGTTGTGGTGGGACTGGTTGTGATGGTGGGTGATGGGGACTGATTGACAGATTGCATCGTGGAGACGGTGGGTGACACTCGATTTTGGGGACCGCCGGCTTGAACCTGGTATACGGTTGGACGCGTTCTTGTGGGGCCAGTCATCGGGCACTGGGCCCCGGCGGCGCCATGTTGGGCCCCAGCTTGACGAATGTAGTTTGATGGTAGACATACCTCGAGGCGATCTGTTCGCGGCATCTTCTGCGGCATCGCCACCGTCTGCGGCACCACACCCAAGGGACTTCCCACTCCCGTGGGATCCGCTGGTCCCATTATCGCTGGCATTATCGGACTTGGCGCAAAATATGGACTGTAGGTGTTGCCAACCTGCGGCATTCCAGTCAGGTACGGATTGGTCGCCTATTGATGAACAAATGAAAAATTCACCCGGACACCAGCCAGGTAATTTTGAGATTAGATTATTGTCGAACTTGTTTTTTTTTTTGGTTTATTTTTTTAGATATTAATAACCCTAGATCTATTAGTTTAATCATTCAAAACAAGACATTCATTTCTTTCGTGACAATTCTATTTTTACAGATTTTTTTTTGTTTACTGCATGGAGAAAACTGGGTACAAATTTATACCGAAATCCTTTAATTTTTGTATCTTTCGTCCGCCATATTGGATCCTCCATTTTGAAATTTGAAAAAGTAAGTTTACATTTGTAAAAAACCCATTATAAATCAAAATTCTTTAATTTTTTTAACTTTAGTTCGTTGTCTGCAATCTCAAAACGCATTTTAAATCGAAATTCGTTAATTTTTTTTAACTTTCGTCCGCCATATTGGATCCACCATTTTGAATTTTAAAAATCAGGCTTTAGATTCATAAAAAACCCAATTTAAATCGAAATTCTTTGATTTGTTTAACTTTAATTCTTTGTCAGCGATCCCAAAACCCAATTTAAACTGAAATTCGTTAAATATTTTATCTTTCGTCCGCCATATTGGATCCGCCATTTTGAAATTTGAAAATCTAAGTTTAGAGTCGTAAACAGCGACCTCAAAAGTCCAATTAAGCGGAAATTCATTAATTTTTTCTTTCGTCCGCCATATTGGTTCCGCCATTTTAATTTTTGAAAAACTGACTTCAAATTCGTAATTTGTTTTTGGGGTTAAAATAATGTAACCCCCAGTTTTCTCCATGTAATGTAGTGCAAACATCCCAAACAAAATAGATCTGTATTAAAAAAAATCACAATCGAGAAGAATCGAACCCAGGCGCTCGATTTGACAGACAAAGCACTTGACCCACTAGGCTAATGACCCAAGATGAAAAAATTTTATTTAAAATAAAAAATTCCCCTTAAATGGAATCGTTTTTCTTATTTTTCCCAAACGTAATAATACATCAACAATTAATAATAATAATAATAGCAAAAAATCTCTTATAATTAGTACAAAAAATGCGATTTATCTTTAGAAAAAGAAATAAAAACCCTATTTAATTAGTCCGTAAACAGAAAACTGAGATACTTTGCACCACCAATTTCATTCTTTAATTTTTTTTTTGTTGTTCACTCAAGGCATTCAATCTCTTTCATCCTCTTTATACAATTCTCTTTCAAGTGCAAGCTGTGTATTTCGCATTTTAATTTAATGGCAAGCAAAGGGTAAAACAGTTTTCAGCAAAAATTTTTATTTTTCAACTATATTCTATATTGTATAGTGGAAAAAAAATTCACAAGTGAACAGGATTCTCTCATTTTTTTTAGATTTAATTTTTTTTAATTTTCAAATTTTATTAACTGATTTTAAAATATAAAAATAAGAATGGGCAATATTTGTAGAATTTATAGGGTATCAATTTCTGTTTGACAGAAATGGATTTGTGGATAAATATTGTTTGCTTTGGTATATTGAAATAAATTCAAAAGATGAAATCTGCCCTCAGTGAATTTCAAAAGGTTCAGGTAAAGCTTCATTAGTCTGACACAAAGAGCTCGTGTTCACTTGTGTTACGGGTACGCCCTGTCAAAACAAGCCTCAGTCCAACGTGCTCCAACAAATCAAAACACACCTACTATTTGCTAATAAGTTTTAACACATCATGCTTAATTATCAATGAAAAAATTTCCAATTTTTAAATTTTAATACAAAAAATTCATTTTTGTAAATAAAAAATTATTTATTTAATTAGAATTGCATCTATTTAATATTTTTTTTAATTTAACATTTTTTTGCAAATTAGAAATTTTTTCAAAACTGTGTTTAAATCATACAGAATAATTAAAAAAAATATTTTTCAAAATTGTAAGTTTTATAATTTATATATATACTTAAAAATAATTATATTAACTACTATAGCGTAGACTTATTATTTGCCTTGGGGAAGATTTTTTTTGTAATATTCTTGCGTAAAAAAAATTTCCTTTCACTAATACGATTAAATTGTTTTCCAGAGGAAATAAAATATAATATAAAACTATTATTCTTGCCAATAAACTTTTCTCTTATTATTCCCTTCGATTTAACGAAAGTTTACAACTCTAAAAGTACCATCAATTGATAAAGAAAGGAGTATCAATTAATGAGAACAATTTTATTGGCTCTTTATACTGCTCTTTTTTATATTTTATTTCACTACGATTTGCAATCAATTATAGACTAAAGAAGAAAATAAAATTAAAATTCTTCCCCCGGACATTTTTACAGCATTTGAAATACAATTTTTAAAAGTTGTAACTAAAAAAAAGTTTATTTAAAATTTTTTTGGAATTAAAGACTAAAAAAAATTATTTTTGTTTATAAACAGTAAAGATTTTATTATTAGTTATGAGAAAATAATTTCTGAATTGAAAAATTACGAATAAAAAAAAATTACTATCGGGAAGAATCGAACCCTGGGCGTAGAACTGACACGCAGAGTACTTTTCCTCTAGGCCAACTGATCATTAGCAAATTTTTTTCACTTTTAATGAATTCCATTAAATATTTCAAATTAAAATCGAAGTTTTCTCAATATATTGAGTAGTATATTTATTAAATTTCTATTTATTGCAAAAAATTAATTTCTTTTTGTGAAAAAAAAATGAAAATTAATATTTGTATTTCAAATACCGTTTTGGTAAGTCTACAAAAAAATTAGTGAAAGCCAACCAAAACCAGGAGTTACCATAAAGGCGTGGGTAGCGAGTAGTTGCTGCTGGATTTGCTGTTGAAGGTGATGGTGTGGTGGCGTAGGAGATGGAGACTCCTGTTCACCAATGACGTTATTGGAGAACACACCAACAATCAACCACAACCACGAGCGCCACAGCGGCAAACATAGGGAACAGACAGGCAGTCATACGTGTATTATATGCTCGATGTCATCACGTTGCAAGACGATTAATTAATTTGTAATAAAATTAAGGGAACAAATTTTCCAAATTCAAATGTTAATCAACTCTATTGTAAAACGCTCCTTTTCTCAAAATTGCTTTTTTAATCTACATCGCGCCATTTATTTTCTTTTTTTCTTTTCTTTTCCTCTTTTTCTTCCTTTTATAATATTATTTTGCTTTCTGCTGTCGTGTCTCAAGTTTTTCATTTAATATACAAAAAAATTTATCTTTTAAAAAACTTTCTTCAATTTTGTTTTGAATTTTTTTCTTTTCAATTCCATTTCCTTTGTTTTTCTTTCGTTTTAATTTTTTTTTCTCTTTAAAATTTCTTTCCCTGAAAATGTAATTTTAGGAGGGAAAAAATATTCTTTTTAACTTTGTTTTTATGAGTGCATTTTGTAAACATTTTTTAATAAACTGGTTTTCAATTATTCTCTATAAGGATGTAATGAAAAAATATTTTTTAAACGAAATACTTCAACTGATGAGTTATTTATTACTATTTTTATTTCTCGGAAATAAAAAAATTGTACTTTAAAATTAGTTATTTTACAATTACAATTTTTTTCTTTAATTAAGAGAGATTTTTGAGCAAAAATAAAAAATTTTTTTTTTAATAAAAGCTTTGAATGTATTGTAGAATGCAATTTTATTTAAATTATTTCTACTACATATTTTATTGAAAGTAAATTCATCAAGTCTTTTATTAAATTTTTCAAAGAGATATTTTTCCAATTTGTATTTTTTAATAAAAAAATAGTTCTTTTTTTCAAATTCGTTTTCTCATTTATTTTTAAATTTCTTTTATATTTTTTTGAATACATTAAAAAAAAATACATTTCGGCATTAAAAAAATTCTATTAAAAACTAATTTCTTTTGTTATTTATTTTTGTTAATTAAAAAAATTATTTCTTTGTAAAAATAATCATAGACAGAATATTGGACGTTTATTTATTATGATATTTTTTTTTAAATTTATTTTTATTTCCATTTTTTGTCGAGGACATAATTTAATAATTTATGTAATAAAATGCGTTTGAATCTTTCGAAACAAAAATATTAGCAGATGTTTTTCATTTTGATTTTCGTATAGCAAAATGTATGTATAAATTACACGTCATGTTAAAAACTAATTAAAGCGCTGGAGAAAAAGAGTAGATTTAAATACAGTCATTGCTTGTCAACTAATTTTTTTAGAGTCAAGAAAATTATTTTATTTTATCACATGAAATTAACATCAATCAGACCTGTACGGGGGATAAAAGAAATAAACACAAAAAAATAAATAAAAAGAAAAAAAATTCACACCCTCTAGATAATATCGAACACTTTAAAACTATAGAAAACTTGTCGAAAAAAAACTCGAAAACTCATGCAAGAAAATAAAAACAAAATAATTATTATAAATAAAAATTCGAGGAAACAAATTTTCTTTCAAGTAAAAATAAAAGAGAACTATGGAAAAGTAAATACAGGCCTGAAAGACATTAAGAAAAACTTGATAAACGAAAGCAAAAGCGTGACATAATCGCTAGAATGACACTGACGAGAAAACATGCGGCGTGCTAAATTCTTTTGTAAGTAGTTAATTATCTTCACGTTTCATGCCAGTCCAAAATTTCGTATTTTTGAGTTTTTTAATAATAAAAAAATTCTTAATTTTGTTTCTTTAATTTACATTTTTAAAAATCGTAATTGATATTATAATTGTATTTATAATTCCATTTTTAATTATATTTATATTTACAATTATATTTATATTTATAGATATATTTATAGTTATATTTACAAATATACTTATAATTATAAATATAATGAAGTTTATAAGTATATTTAAAAATACAATTACTATAAGAAAAAAAACTTTCTCAATTTTTCGAAATAGTAAAATTTTTTTAAAAAGTTTTCATTTAAAAAAATTATTATTTGTAATTTGTACCAGATTATAAATAAAACTCTTGAGAGTATTGAATAATTAAAAAAAATATTGCAATTAAAACATTTTGGACGTAACATTAAATCGAGAAGAATAACATGAAAATTTTCTAATATCTAAATGGAAAAATCTAATAGCAATGGTCAACAAGGGATTGAGATCTCGCGAGAAAGATAAAAGCTATGGTTTTCGTGTGTATAATAAAGTAGAGAATGATGCAATATAATAATAATAGTAATATTTTTTTTGAACTTAAAAACATACCACTGTGGGCACCTGACCAGGTACAAGTGCTTGGCCCGGTGTGTAACCCATTTGTTGCATTATTGCATTCTTTAGTGCTAAATGATTTCGTCCATTAATCAAAAGTTGATCCTTCAGATGCTGTGGTGGATGGAAGTATTTGCACGGTGGTTTTTCTCGATTACATCGACCCTGGAATTTAAAAAAGAAAAAATATATTTTTATTTGATTTTGAAACAAAAAAAAAAGTTGTTGATTAATTATTTTTTTGTTTTTAGTTTCATAATTTGTTTCTAGAAATAAGTGTGGTTTTCAGGTCAAGGATGACTCTCCACTTTACTTTATCGACTGCTGAATAGTTATCGACCGCATATACATTGAAAATGAGACATTAACTCTGAAGGCAGTCACTGAGGCGTCGGCCATTTAATTCTCATTCTCTCCTGTGCTTTCGTCAGATTAACATCGTTAGTAAACTTTATTTTATTTTTTTTCTAAATTAGAAAGTGGAGACTAAGTAGGAATAACGGTTATTTACTCTCAAACTGTCAAATTAATAAAAACAACTTTAAAAGTTTAAACAAAGGTAAGAAAACTTACGAAGCAAAATAAAAAAAAGGTAGTTATACTCTCAAACTGTCAAATTAATAAAAACAACTTTAAAAGTTTAAACAAAGGTAAGAAAACTTACGAAGCAAAATAAAAAAAGGTGGTTATACTCTCAAACTGTCAAATTAATAAAAACAACTTTAAAAGTCTAAACAAAGGTAAGAAAACTTATGAAGCAAAATAAAAAAGGTGGTTATACTCTCAAACTGTCAAATTAATAAAAACAACTTTAAAAGTTTAAACAAAGGTAAGAAAACTTACGAAGCAAAATAAAAAAAAGGTGGTTATACTCTCAAACTGTCAAATTAATAAAAACAACTTTAAAAGTTTAAACAAAGGTAAGAAAACTTACGAAGCAAAATAAAAAAAAGGTGGTTATACTCTCAAACTGTCAAATTAATAAAAACAACTTTAAAAGTTTAAACAAAGGTAAGAAAACTTATGAAGCAAAATAAAAAAAGGTGGTTATACTCTCAAACTGTCAAATTAATAAAAACAACATTAAAATTTTGAACAAAGGTAAAAAAAATTTCGACGTAAACTAAAAATAAAGTTGGTTATACTCTCAAACTGTCAAATAATGAACAAAAATTACCGGCAACGTTAAAAGAAGATATAAAATAGTTTCAGAACAAAGTACAAAAAACATTTATAGTTTGCCCATCTAATATTTTAATGCAAATTAAAAATCCATAAAAATTTTTAAAATCCGTTTTAACTTGGATTTTTTAATTCCAACGTACTTCTTTTAAAATATTTTTTCAAATTACTTAAAATTTCAGACGAAAAATAATTTACAGAATTTAACAGACAGATGAAATTTTGAAAGTGAAAGCACCATCATCATCTATCGTGAATATATGAAGTTTTGAAACACGTTGACTGTTTACAAGCGCAAGGAGCAACTACTCGTTACAAACTCAAACAGCAAGCTGCTCTCTCTCTCATATCATAGAATTGCGTTAAGTCGAGCGCGCGACTTGGCAAACTGAACTTGGATCTTGCTATCAAGCTACACGAACTATAATCTCACGAGATTGTTGCTAAAGGTGCCGTTTAATAACTATAGCCTTTCGTTGGAATGGTGAGGTAAAGTGTCTTGCACATACACACAGAGGGCTTATCATCCCTAATATCACAAAGTGCTCCTCATTTAGTTTACGTTGTTTTACGTGAGTGCCAACCTCAAAAGAGAATCTCCCTACACACATAATCCTGCCTTGAGGTGTAAAAACTAAAGCAGGGCAGAAAAGGAATTAAAATGAAATGCATAAATATATTTTTCCCAAAAACTTAGCTAATAAACAAATGTGAGAGGGGCGAATGTGACACTAATTAGACTCTAACAATATTGGCTCAAGTTTTGTTAAACTAGGGAGAATTTCTGTTCGAGAGAGAAAGAGAAAGGAGAGGGAGAGACCCAAGGCAGTTGGTACAAACATCGTCTTAAGTCTTGAGCCAGGCCACAACCTAAGTCTTCCAGAAAGCCAATGGCTTTGCGTAATAACTGCCTGTGAACACCAACTTCTTGGTTAATGTATTGCCTAATTGGAAACCCAGCTTATACTGTTAAACTTACATTTATGTTCTTCCAATTAATTCTCTACTTAATACTCGCAATTAATTATTATCAATGATCACGAGTTTGCAAACATCTTACCCTTTCTTTTCTATTAAAAAAAAATGCATGGTAATAATTTTCCAATAGAACAAGTTTTTTCAATTTCATTTTTGCAATATTGAAAATATTGATTTGGAAAAGTTTGCGTACTCTTTATGTAGAAATCATATTTCATGGCAGTATATTTCTGTGACATACCGTCCATTGTAAAAAATGTTATTTTATACAGATTTTATTTTAAAACACGAATTTTTTATGCTTATCTCAAATAAATAATATTTACAATTGTCATGAATCATTTTTAGATTTGGTTTTTGGTGACTGCGATTTTTTCTCTGTGGATCTTTCAAATGGTTGTAAATTTAAAAAGTAGGGAACAAAAGGTTTCCTAAAGTGGTGTGATAATTACTAGAGTTGGTAGCAGACTGTGACAATTATAGTGGGAGCGGTTGTATTTATATGGCGACTGGAGGGGGAAGCGACAGTGACGCTCGCTCCTGATTGGCCGCTTCGAATTCGGAGAAGGGAGATCCGTGCCCTGATTGGAGAGCGCTCTGAAAGACGAGAAATGATATTAAAACTCTAGGATCTTCGATTTCGAAAGCATTACAAGAAAGGCAATTAACGGAAGTGAAAGTATTTTTGAAATTAGTATTTAAGTATAGAAATAGACGGAAGAGAGATGGGTATGAAAATAGAGTTTGAAAATTGAGGTTGAAGAGCAAGCTCTCGGGGTTGAATGGAGACTTCTTTTTCACCTTGAGCAAAATCCTGACATGGAAGATGGTCGAGAAACAGGAGACTTCAGACCCGAGGTAACCCCACTTTATAACCCCTACCCTTCTGTCTTGTCACCGACGCGACTCGACGACATCGTTCACTATTCCACGCCATTCAGGTCTTGCGATCCTTCCATCGTTGCTTTCTCTCTCTCTCTTATCCTCCCTGGTCGTTGCAGCACGCCATGCCGGGAGTCAAGCACCCTATGTGGAGTTAGGGTGCAAGATTACTAGGATTTGCGCCTAGATTTGCATATCGATTTTCCACCAAGAGACTCCTTCATATATGGCAGCAAACGGCGCACAATTTGCCTTAATTTCGTATAGGGCGACAGCAGATCTTGCCCATATCATCTTGGCTCCCACGTGCAATATGAGATTTTCAAGGAAAAAAGAAAAAAAAAAACCTTGGGAAAGAAATTTCTTTCACAATGTCACGTGGTATTTGTTACAAAAAATATTTTCCACTCCCCCCACATTCATTCAGTAATGACACTATTGAATCATCACATTTGCAATGTTGACAAATATTTCTGAATAATAAACCCCTTTTAATACTATTAAAACTATTACCGACCTTTTTGAAAACTACTGTCATTCCTACCAAATGTTGGGAGACAAATATTTAAAAAAAGAAAATCAATTTAAACTCGATAGAAAAACAAAACGATCAACGGCAGTAAAAACTTAAATATGTAAAGGTTTTTTTTATCACCACAATCGAGAATCGTATTTCGTTGGGAGATATGTATCTGATTGAAATGGATATAGGACAATAATAGTTTGCCATAAAAATGCGTATGCAGTGAGTTTAGTGGATTTAATAAATATTAAAGTTGGAATTTGATTGGGGCGTGAAACATTAAAGTTGATAGTAGTTGATTTAAAAATAAAGATGATTATACTCTCAAACTGTCAAATAGTAATAAAAAATTACTTGCAACGTTGCAACGAAGGTAAGAAAAATTTCGAACCAAACTTAAAATAAAAGTGGTTATACTCTCAAACTGTCAAATAGTAAAACCTAACTTCAGCATAAAATTTGAATTCAAAATCTAAAATTTAACGGTAAATAAATAGTAGCGAATAAAAAGGAAATTTATTAGAACCACTTCAGTTGGAATTTTGTTAAAAATTTTTTTTCCCACTGTGGAAAATTCTTTTTCCCCATAAGCCCTTATCGGAAACGAAGAATAAATCCCGCTAATTCGACAATACATTTCGAGAAAATGTTCCAATCGTACATTTTATGGAGATACAGCGACGTCGCTAAAGTGGACCTTGAGCACATAAAGAAGTTTTATGAACCCGAGAATGGACTGTTTTATTCCAAACGATAGAGTAGTGGTCAAATTCATATCAGAAATGTAGGAGGGAAACGTTTACATGCTCATAAGTGGGGAAAAGTAGAAGAAGAAAGAAAAAAAAGAAGTAGATCGTTAATAAAATGTCTGTTGAATTCTTGGTTAAATGTATAAGAATACGAAGGATGTAATAAATATTTTGAAATAGAAGAAAAAAGAAGGAATAAGAAGAGGAATAAAAATGCAAAAGAATAAAAATTGAAAAAACTAAGGAATTGGTAAATTTAATATTCTTTCTATTTAAGTAGTTAATTTTCTCTTTGTTTCGACATTTCTTTTCTTTATTTTCATTTGCTCAATTATAGAATCGATCATTTGTATTTCATCTTTTTTTTTATTTCCTTCACTCCTCCAAGGAAACTATTTTCATCCAATGATGTTTTCTTTTTAATATCGGGAAAATACTCTTTTTTCTTCATCTCAATATTTAGATTGCTGGTTTAATAAAAAATTATTGATTTTAAGAAAGGTAATGCTTAGCTATGTTGCTTTCAGAATATCCACTGATGGATTGGTTTGATTTCTTGAGGGGAAAATATATTTTATCATCAAAGAAGTTAACTAATAAAGAATTAAGAAATCAGTTAACCAATTAGAATCCAAGGTCTATGTCAGATTATCAAAATATTTTTAATAACCGGGACATTTCAAATACCACCATCATAGGAGCTTTTTGTATAAGGGACAGAAGGTAAGACGAATTCTAATAAGATTGAAAAAGTAATTCATATAAATCTGTTTTTATAACAGGAAGGCAGCAAACTCATTAAATGATGGTGATAGTAAATATTCTTGAGTTATGGTTCAGGAGGACTCATCCAAACTTCGAAACTCTTGAATCTGGAG